CATCACCATCCTCAGCATCATCACCATCCTCAGCATCACCATCATCCTCAGTATCACCACCATCCTCAGCAACATCATCACCATCCTCAGCAACATCACCATCCTCACCAACATCATCACCATCCTCAGCAACATCACCATCCTCACCATCCTCAGCACCATCCTCAGCATCATCATCATCATCATAAAATTCATTTTATGCAGTTCTTCCTCCGACTAACATTCATCCATGAAATTCTTTCTTCAAACACTAAAAGCAGAAAACTCACCTAAGTGTGAGGTGGTATAACCGGACGCCTTCCTGTGATTCCAGGACCAGTGGAGTGTAACTTGACTGTCTGGAGGGTTTCTACTTTGTTTTTATTTGAATTTAGCGTCGAATCAGCGTAAGTGAAAAATACTGATTTTTTTTTTTAAAGTGGACCTTTTTCACTTTATTTCATTATTTCCTGTCATGGATGTTCATATCAAACATGACCAAAGGATTAATAATGAGCTCAGTACACAGAGTAAACCCTGTGAGCTCTAAACTCACAGTTTATCACAGCTTCTCCTGCTGAAGTGTCACGGAGCAGGTAATAATCAGAGGAGGTCCACTTTAAAACTGATTTCACTCCAGATTTAAGCTGAACTTTTAATTTTCTGTCATCATGTGAACATTTTGATTTAGAAATGTTAAACTTGAGTTTCTGATGTAAAAATTTGTGAACAGAAAGAAAAAAGTAAATTTTGCAGAATGAATAAACGTAGACAAAAACATGCTAACGATTGTTCTGAATGAAAGCAGGAAGAGCGGTCAGCTTCCAGAGAAATCTCAGGGACACCTGTCACACCAACATGAAGTCACGTGAGGTGTGTTCAGCTGTGATCTCAGCTGGAGCTGGGCAGTAATTTTCTCCCGCAGGTGGATTTAAGGCTGGATTTGATTACATGTAATCAATCCGAGGAGCTGAACTCTGTTTAATGGCTGTAACAGGGTGTGAATCCAATCAGAAGTTAAACCACCATAAACAGAACGTCCAGCTGGGAACAAATTCAGACCTCTTGATTGAGCTGATCAGTTATCAGGCAGTGAAATCGATCCCTTTGATTAGCTGTTCTTTGATTGAGTGGCCGGGTCTCACCTTGTGGGACTTCCTGTATATGAGCTGGTTGTCTCTGATGGTGAACCAGGATCTGAAACAGGTTTACAAGTTAGAAGGATTCACCGAGGTCAAAGGTCAGCAGGCCATGTGACACTGCGGGTCTCTACCTCTTCCACATTTTAGATTTCCTCCTCGAGCGTTTGAACAGGTAACCCCGGATGATGTCATCATTGCCAGGACACGCGCTGACCATCGGCTCACCTGAAGCGTCCTTAGAACAAACACACGCGTGTTTCAGAGCGTTCGTTCTGCTTTGAGTCTAAATGTAGTCGTCCCTCCTTGAACAACATATCTAACATCTGTCTGCAGCGTCTGCTGGGACAGATGTGCTGATCTGTGAGACTCCTTACCCTCTGCTGGACCAGCAGGTGTCTGTTCTCCAGCTCCTTCCTCTTGGCCGTGCAGTCCGCAGACAGCTGTGACAGCTGTGGAGCACACACAAACACATACGTGTACACAGCCGTTACTCCACACCGAGGCTACCACACAAACCAGCACAAAGAGGTCAGAGGTCACAGACCTGCGCTGCCATGGTTTTCATGGTGGGCTCGAGGTCTCTTAGCAGGTCAAAGCCCTGGTGGAAGAAGGTGAACTGAGCGTGGACGAAGGAGAACATCTGGAAACGCAAACTTGAGTCAGTACACGAAGATGGTCGTATCAGGTATGTCCCCCCTCTATGACATCACACAGACCCACGAGTTGTGTTTTCACTCACAGAGTTTAAGATGTCGACCTTCTGCTGAGTCTTGAAGGTGTTGAGCTGAAAATTAGGACACAGAGGATAAAGCATCTGATGTTCCTTCATGTCATCAATGTTAAACACACTCAGGTGTCACACCTGCAGACAGTAATCCAAGGCGAAGTGCTGGTAGCATTTGCGTGTAGCGAGCAGCAGGTGACTTGCCCGCTCGGCGTCGGCGGCTTTATGTCGAGACACCTGAGCGTTCTTCGTCGCTGCCGTCTCCAGATCCTCGCCGATCCGGACAAACTCCTTCCTGGTCTCCGCCAACTGGGGCAGGAACCTCAGAGAGATGAAGAGCAGCAGTGTCATCACCAGAGCAGCTCTGCCGGTGCTCAGAGCTAAACTGTGTTACTGTTACTGTGGCAACGGCCTCTACACTGAACCCGGGAACCCCGACATACTGATCAGCCCCCCGGAGTGATGCCTTACTGCGTGCAGAGGTTAGTGAGCTGCTGGCCGATGGCTCTCTGTGTCTGATCAAACAACATCTGCAGGTGAAACACACACACGAGTCAAACACATGAGTCTCTGCTGGAGCTCAGACGAACAAACACGAGTACAACTGAGCGTGGACTCACAGTGTGGAAGCTGACCATCTCCTGCAGGCCCTGGTGGAACTGGTTCAAGCAGGTCTGAGAGGAAGGAAATAGGAAGTCAGACAGGAAATGCCCCAACACCCCACCGAGAAACTGAGCAGACATGTTAGGTCATTAGTCCTTCCTGGCTTATTAGCTGGTAGTGTTAGATAAATGAACTCAGAGGAAACAGAGCAGACGTTGTGGGGCGTCAGGAGCTGAAAGTAAATTGGACGACCGGATGCAGCGATTTCTTCTTTTTCAGATGCATCGAGGAGCTGCTTACTGTGATCACGCTGTCCTTCGTCTGATTGGTGCACAGCTCAGCTAGGCCGCTCAGTAGCAGCTTATTGGCAGTGCTGTACGCTTGTCCCGCCTCTACCATCTTCCCACACAGCTTCATCACCTGATTGTTTAGAAACAGACAGTACAGACCAATCAGCTTGCCTCACTAATAACAGTTAGCTTCTAACAGTACTTCATCAGTACTAGTGAGTATACAGCTGTATTAACAGTATTTGTAGTACTACTATTAGCTGTGAAATTACAACTAGTATCGTAATAGTATTAGCTACAGTATTTGTACTGTCTAGCAGTATTAGCGCTAGTATATGCAGTATCAGTAGCGTAGTACAAATAGTACTACCACTATTTGTAGTGGAAGTACTTGTGCCTTGTCTCCATGTGTCTCTAACAGTTTTTATTACAGCAGTAGTGGTAGTAAAGTAGTAATAGTAGTAATGGTAGTAATAGTAGTAATGGTAGTAGTACTTGTACCTTGTCCAGTTTTGTCTCCAGCTGTGAAACATCTGTTTCAAACTGATCCAGAGCCAGCCTGAATAAAATAAATAAAGCGTCATCACTACAAGTGAACATGCGCAGATTGGTGTGTGCGTGCGCGCGCGCGCTTACCTGAACTCAGGTGAGTCTTTGACGCAATCCTCAAAGTCCAGCAGGCAGTCCATGACGTCACCCAGCAGTCTCGTGTCCCTGTAGTGAGTGCGAGTGTAAATAAAGTTAGCTGCGGTGCTTCATCCTGCCGTTAGCCGTTAGCTCCGCTCTAATGAATCATTTTTAAACACGCGCCGGGGACGTGGACGGACTCCTTCACGCGCCTGGTCCACAGCCTCACAGCGGGTGGATCCGTCGCGCGCAGCACACGCGCCCCGGTCGGCCCTCCATATTGGCGCGGTTGAGATCAGAGAGTAACTAACCCGGGTCAGCCGCTGTTCTCGGACTAACAGCTGTCCCGCTGCAGCCCGCTGTTGTCAGACTTGTTGCTAACCGACAACGTCCGCCTAATATCCGCTTTGTTTGGCTCGGAGCCAGCCGACAGTCACAGCAACTCCAGCGACCCCCAGCGGCCCGGGGCGGAACCACACCTACCGTGCCCGTTATTTAGGGCTGAGTATCGTCGCTGATTTCTATAACTGATTCGATTCAGTTTTGACAGTCAGAAATATTCTAATTCTGATCATTTATCAGCACACATCCATGTTTTATATCTGTGTATAAACCAAAGCTGACACTGAGACTTCATCAGCGGTGTGAGCATCACAGCAGGTGTAACTGAGGATCCAACAGAGAAACATGAAGCAGGTTTTCTGGAAGTACAGCAGCCAAAGTCAGAGGGAGCTCACGAGCATGGTTATCAAACGTGAAGCGCAGTTTGATCTTCTTTTGCTGCTGGTTCAGTCAGTGTTGGTCAGAGTGACGAAACCTGCAGCTTCAGGATCTGTGAGCCGTCGACTCTCAGCGCCGGCGTCTGTGGACGATCCACGCTCTGCGTTTACATCGTTGTGCTTCTCACTTACTGTTTTAGCTGTTTGGTGGTTGTTGAAATAGTTTTGTAAGCTTTAACCTGAGATTCTGTCAAAATAAATTTATATTTAAAAATCATTCAGGATTTAATGAATCGATATCGTGTTATTCAAGCTAATATCGATCTTTTTGAACCCACACCTACTCCTAATTGTTTTTTGATTTTCTTTCACTGACTGAATTAAAACTCAACATGTAGTAAATAACAGACACTACTACTTAAATGCATAAATATTTAAGGTTTTATGTGTAGTGTATATGCATTTGTTTTAAAATTTAGATTAGAACAAATATATTGACAAAATATAAAAAAAAAAACTATACAAATATTTTTTAGCCCTACAAAATTATGTTATTAGTTTTCTTTTATTAATTGTAGTTTCAAATCTCTTAAAAAAAAGATGTTTGCATGTTTTCAGTGTTTTTCGCTGCTGCAAACCGACTTCTGTGAGGAATAAAATGCATGTAATCTTTCGAGGCCAACAAAGTGAAACGTTTGACTTTCACCAGCATAATTTCACCTTTCGTTTCCTGTTTATTGGCAGAAAAAATGGCGTACATAGCTTTTTATCAGAAGTTACGATGAAACATTGAACATCTAATCGAATCACTTCATCACTAAAAGCATATTTGCACTGCAAAAGACTCTTACAAATGTGGATTGCACAACACTGAACATTATAGTTCTTCATTTCCACTTAATACTGTACAGTTGCTGTTATTGTGTATATATATTTATATTTCTTCATACATTCCTATATATTTCTATACTGTGTATTTTGTTTATACAGTTATTTTATTTTCAACTTTAATTTAGATTTTATTCCTTCCTAGTTAAATTGACCCTTTTTAATTTTCATATTTGTTTCCTATCTTATTCATAGCCTTTTCTTTTCTGTTTCTTTAGGCCACGAGCAGTTGTGTAAGCATTTCACTGCATATCATACTGTGCATGAGACAAATAAAATGAGAATTTGAAAGGTTTTCTTCATCCAGCTGGATTTTTTGTTGCATCACAGAAGAAGAAAAAAACCTGTCCCTGCTGTGTTGTTTAATGATCGGGCTGCACGGTCTGATGCGTTTCCTCTTTATGTCCCGTTTGTGTTAATAAAGTTAACAAATTCAAACACTGACGGGTCAAATCAGCTGATGGAGACGGAAAATAAATGTTTTTATTGTAAAAGAAGCGGACGTTACAGCAGCAAGAACACAGAAACAAAGATGAGGACGATGAGTTCAGTAGCCAATAGAAACCAGGATCACAGTGACGTTGTCAGCGCAGCCTCGTCTGACCGCCTCGCTTGCCAGCTGCTGACAGGCGGCCTCGAACCGCCGCTCCTCCTCCATCTGCCCCGCCCCCTTCTCTTTGCTCCCGTCCTGTAGGCATGAAGAGGAGGATGAAGGTCACCCAGCAGAACTCACATGTTTAACTGGATTAAGGCCAAAACCAGTGGGTGACGTCGCAGTGGGTGTCTCCATCTTTTGCATACAGTCTCTTTTTCTAAAACATACATATAAGTCTAAACTATGAAGCAGAGCCTCGATTGAACATGTAGCCTAAAGGAGCTCAGGAAGGAAAGCGACTGTTTCTTTAAGTGTCATGAAGACGTCTCACTGTGAGATGGTGAAAGATGGACCCTTGGGCCCCCTCCTCGATTCGATTAAGGGTCCAGCTTCCACCATCCTACAGTGAGAGGTCAAACGTCTTCATGAAACGTAAAGAAACGGTTGCTTTTCTTCCTGAGCTCCTTAGATTACCTGGGTGACAGATTACACCCTCACAGATGAAAAACAATCCAAAGTTACATGAAGCTAATCTGCAGACACGCTAACTGCGCTCTTATTTTGTTACACTCATCCGTCGCACTTCCTGCTGACGCAGGAATTGTGGTGTTAAGGAGGACGGGCTGATACCTGGAGGACGCCGAGGACGAACTTCACGGCTTCGTCGGCTGAGAACACTTTGAACAGGCCGTCACAGGCCAGGATGAGGAACCTGCAGAGAGCAGGGACAGTGCTCACACACCTGCCTCCCAGATCACAGCAAACCAAAGCTGTTTAGGTCCAAATCCAGCTGTTTCCAGTTGTTTCTACTGTGCAGCATCTTATGTATTAAACACGTTTTATTTCTAGTTAGTGAACTCTCCATCACTCTCTAATTGGCGCCAACGGGCTGTGCACTGATGTAGCTCCACCTTCACTGTCACTACACTGATGCTCAGGTGAGCTCAGGTCCACAGACCAGGCTGTTTTAAACGTCACGATTCTGTTTCTACATTCGTGGAGCACCTTTTGGTCTCTCCTTACCTGTCATTGGGCGTGAGCTGACACCTCCTCAGGTCGGGGGTCGAAATAACGCCACAGCGTTTGTACTGACCGTCCCCGATGGAGCGAGACACCTCCAGGACACCGAGCACGCGGCCATCCCTGCGGAGACACGAACACATCACCGTTAGCTGAGGCCGAGAGGCGCTGGTGGAGGACGGTAAGGATTCGGACCTGACGGTGCCGCCGGCTCTCTGGATCCTCATCCTCTCCTCGTAGATGGTCGGGTTGTGCTCCTTACTGAGCGCCAGAGTCACCGACCTCCTCTGTCCGTCTGCCGCCGCCTCCATCCGACACATGACTGCCTGCAGACACGGAAACGGCGCAGCAGGAAGCTTAAGACAGGAAGAAAAAGAAGCGCAGGTGGAGGTGAAGAAGCGCCGGCTCACCCTGCTGTCTCCCAGGTTGGCCACGTACACCATGTCGTCCACCACCAGCACGCAGGTGGCCGTGGAGCCGTCCTTCCACGCCGGTTTCCTGTCCACACAAACAGCTCGTCAGCTTTTCCTGCTCCACATTTAAAAACAGCTGCGGCACACTGGCGCTCAGAGTCTTACTGGCTCGAGGCCTTCTTCAGGAAGTCTTCGTCGGTCTGCTTGAACGTGTCCAGGAGACACCTCTTAATCAGCTTGTCTGCGTTTTCAGCATCTCCTGAAAGAGACGACGTGCTTTAACCAATGAGAAGGCACCACGGCTCTCTCGCACGTTTATGTCAAAGTAAACTTACAGATGACTCTGTGTCTCTCTGGACTACTGCGCCCTCTTGTGGACATGACGTGATATTAAAGCAGTTTAATTCTTCTAATAATTAAACATGATTTATGTCAGTTTTCACATCACTATTATTACTGCGGCATTAAAACAAGCAGCTGCCTCATCCATCATCCATCCAATCACGTCTATGACCGCACAGCGAGCAGGGAAACAGGAGACAGCAGCAACTGGACTTTCAAAATAAGAGCGAGGGGGGATTGACCACTGCGGGTCGTGAACAGCGTGGAGGAAACTCACCTGTGGGGAACTTCTTGGCGAGAGTGTGATGGAGGTTCTCAGCAGCGAATCCAGAGGCTCGAGCGCCGCCATGGCCGTCGAACACGGCGAAATACGAAACTCGGGACCTGCAGACAAAGACACGACGTCAGAGAGACCACACGGAGGAGCTGTGACCGATCACGATTGGTGGGCGTGACTTCCTCTTACACGTTTCCTGGCAGCGTGGACAGACAGCCGCTCATGTCCGGCAGCAGCACGTGAGCGTCCTGCATCTCCTCGCGCTCGCCACGCCTCGCCGCCACGTATCCTCTGAGCACTGGGAGGCCTAGACACACAAAGAGAACGTGAGACCGGCGGCGTCCGCCCTCGCCTCTGCGAGTCGTATTCACGTGTGCTCGCGTCTGATTGGAGGAAAAGAAGCAAACAAACATTGTGGTGGAACAGCTGAAGACCTTCTTTGCAAACTTTCTTGACGACCTCCTCCTCCCCCTCCTCCCTGTGTGCTTCATCTCGTTTCCGTTTCAACCTTTTCTCCTCCTCTTCTTCTCTGGTGGTTGGGGGTGGAGTTGTGAGCGGTGCTAGAGCAGGACCTGAGGAGGAATCGCATCAAACATTAGCCCGATGTCCTTCCTGACACAACCCTCGCCATTTACCTGCGTTTGTTCCCGCATTCATCACAGTCTAACATCACCAAAATCAAACACTCCACATCTCAGCTCGTGGAAATTCACACTTTTCTTTATACTTTTATTGAATTCATAGACCTGTTTAGGAGCACCAGCTACGGGTTTTTGTCTGTTTGCAAAGGGTGCTGGTGGAAAACATCCTCCTGCTGGATAAAGATGGAGGAGGAGGAAGAGGAGGAGGAAGGTGTGTTTGAGGGCAGACAGACAGAAAGAAAGGTAGGAGTGTGGAGGTGAGAGCAGGAACGGTAAAGAGCCGCGACTGATATGGAAAGTGAGGCCAGGAGCATCTAAGGGTGAGATGGTCTGCGCATGTGCAGAGGAGGGACGTACATTCAGAGGGGGGGTGAGATGATAAGATGGTGATGATTCAGAGACAGCCTGTCTGGCTGTTCCTCACTGATACCAGTTATTAATAATCAAAGAGATCAATAACTGCGAGTTTACGCGGATATAGCGAGTTTTAGAAAAAAATGTAATTCACTACAACCACGTTATGGAAGGAAATACGTCACTTTTCATTTTCCCGGTGCTTTGCTGACTATTTAGTGTTTTTATACAGTCAGATTTCACATTTTAGAGGTGAAAAACTGTCGCTGAGCTAATGAAACCTGCAGCTGCTGACCGACGAATCGATGCGTAATCGATCAGTCATGTCTGTGGGGTGTGAACTGAAGCACGGCTCCCGCAGCAGTAACGCTAACGTTAGCTCACTCGGCTCTGTGATGGAGCCTTAGCCCTGCTGCTAACGTCAAACCTTCCCGTTAACTCACCGGAGGTCTGAGTCGGTTCCGGCAGATCGTCGAACAGATCCATCCCGCTGCCCCGCAACAAGCTAACGAACCCGGATACCTGAGCGAACCGCCACTCCTGCCCCAGCTCTCCGTGTCCGGGTGTCCGTGTCAGGGTGTGTGAGCTGACCCAGTTCGTGTTAAACCGACACGATTATTAAAGCGGGCCAAACTGTGCTAAAGACCCGCTGTCGCTTCTTTTGCAGCAGGAACTGTTCTTCATCTGCAGCCTCAGAGCTAGCCCTGCATTAGCAACACACGGCTACACACAACCTACTTCCGGCCGCTGCTTTCAAAACAAAAGCTTCAAAATATCCGAGCTGCAAATGTCCGGAAGTCTGTGAAGGAAGCTCTAAAAAAGACAACTTCGTTTCCATAGCATCGTTACGTTTAACCCGCAATAAGGACCTAAAGTTTTAGCAGTTGCACATATTTTGCTACATTAGGTTTTATTTAATTATGTTTTACATGTTTCTGTGAAATAATAAAGAGCATTCACAAACATCAGAATTTACTGTATTTACAGTGTTCTGTGGATCAGCAGGGTGTGTGTATTCGTCTGCTAATCAGAAGGTTGGTGGTCTATCCCTGACTGCACCAGCCAAAGATCCTTGGGCAAGATACTGATGCATCCATCAGAGTGTGAATGCTGGAAAGCACTAATTTGGGAAAAGCAAATGTGCCTGTGTGAATGCGGCGTGCTGTATAAAGTGCTTTGAGTGCTTGACTAGAGAGTAAATAAGAACCAGTCCATCCATAACTCCTGCAGCTGTCCATGTTACAGATCAGTGTTTTGGATCCATAGTCAGGAAACTCCCCGGTCAGATCTTAATCTGATCTTAACTTAAGTAAGTGAGGATAACCTCATGGGTCTGTCAATCACTGACACACAGAGGGGCATCTGAATAAGCGATGGTTCAGCTTCATCCTGACAGAAACTGAGGTTACATGTCATAAAACGAGTAAAACACGCATTTGATAAAAGACTTAAGAACTATTTGTTGATCCCAGGCTGCTGACAGCTTACACAGTAATGCTGAAGTTACGGTGCTGCATTTGTGTCTTATTTGTCTGTGCAGACAGGTGTGCAGCCGACGCAGACGTGCTCGCGTGCAGTCCTGCAGAAGGCTGACAGCCCATTCAGTTCAGTTTTTTTTATGTAGCACCAAATCGCAATAAGCTCTTCGGCCTCCTCAAAAAGCCTATTGTGAGGTGAAGACCCTACAATGATGCAGAGGCTGAATCCTGATTGGTTGAAAAGTGGACATGACCAGAATATAGAGTGAAAGCAGAGATCACTGCATGAAGGGAGAGATGTGAAAAGCAAGTTAAAACACACACACACACACACACACACACACACACACACACACACACACACACACACACACACAGACCATCAGCACAGTCTCTCCACAGCACACTCCTCTCCCTCCTTTCCTTCCCTCCTTGCCTCCTTCGCCCGCCTCTGGCCTCTCATTGGCTGCTTGGCTGCTGCTCTCTTCCAGTTGGCTGGCGGCAGCAGCGGCTGTGGGTGTTCGGATGTCCCACACTGACAGAGAGCCTGAACCTCTCAGCTGCAGCTGATCTCGGAGCTCCTGCGGAGAACATGCGGCTCTGTGAGCTCTGCCTCTGGACCTGCTGGGCTGCAGCGCTCTGCTCCGCAGCACAACAGCACGCGGGACTGGAGACGAGCCCGGCCGGGGGGAGGAGGCTGAGCGCGGGCACAACCACGGCAGCACCGCGGGGGAGCGGAGGGAAGCCCGGGGACCGCCGGAGAGCAGCTCCGAGAGGGTGAGCACCGCACATATGACCATCACCGTCACATTCCACACCACACCACCAACCCAAATAACTCACTTATAATCAGCCGGGCTGCTGTCGGTCTGCGGCTCACTTCATGTCTGAAATCATCTGAGATGAGAGAACAAAAAACTTTGTGTGTCCTGGTCACGGTGACGTCACACCCGTGTGTAAACAGGCTCAGCTGAGTGAGGAGCTTTGGTTGTGTGCTTTGTGTTGGCTTGTCATCACAGCGAGTCCCGCAGGTGTGCTGTCTGCTGTTTAAATCTCTATCATCACAGACACAACAGGACTTCAGCTTCAGGCTGTGCAGGTGTGACCCTCAGGTGAGTGGTTGTGCAGGTATTATTCATCCTGACCGATTTCTCTCTAGTTCTGCTTTGTGCTCTGCTGGTGTCATCCAACTGCTGGGACCTGCTGCACAGGTGCACCGGCTCCTCCTCTGTGTCCACGGAAGCTGTGGAAGAGCATCTCCCTGAGGAGCACTGCACGAATGCTACAGTAAGACCTCCATCGTGCTCCTCGTGCACGTTTCTGACCGACTGACTGTCAGAATCAGACTGCAGGAGGCCAAACCTGCTGCACGGGAATCTTTGCTCACATCACTGTGCAGAACCAACAGGTCCAGCTCTAGTGGATGAGAGCAGGCTCACACTGAGCACAAGAGACAGAGTCTGGAGATGCCGCAGTGAACGTTACGACCCTTCAGCCACATCCAGCAGGACCGGCTCGGCACCCTGGGGAGGAAAATCCTCGGACGGTCCCACAGACCTCCAGGTGTTAGCTACCGGTACCTGAGTGTCCTTAGAAACCAGGATGAAATCCTCAGACTCTGTCAGGCCGGGTCCACCTGCAGCAGGCCCCAGACCCCTCCTGGTGGAGGACGATGCCTGGCCTCAGAGTGTGCAGGCATTTCTTTGATGACGAAGGCATTGATGCCACCGATCGGCGCTCATGCTCCTCAGACCTGAATCCAGAGGTGAGGTTTGTGTATTGCACTGCAGGAGCTCACAGATGCCCTGACCCAGGTCTGGGAGGAGCTGACCACCTCCCATCAGGAGAATGCACAGATGTTTGTGGGAGCACTTTTGGGCACGTAGAGCTGCTTGAAGATGGATTTGGACACCTGTAGGCAGCTCAAGTTTGCAGGAGGGGACTGATATCTTTAAAACAGTCGACATGTGAACAGAATTACAGATATTAAAGCTCAAAAATATTTTTATCAAACTAGATGTTTGATGTCTCTGTTCATATTCGATGCAAAACATGTTATGCTGTTCTTATTTTTGAAATCCTTACATTCATATTTATGGATAAGACCAAAGTCCTGCTTCATCGTGCAGGCCTCAGGTGAGGCTGCTTTCCAGGTGCTGGACACATTAAAACAGCTGGATTACCCTGAACAACATGTCTGAGAGCATCTGGTCTACCTGTCTGTGATGTAGTGTGACCGTAAGGCAGCTCAGGAATGTGTGTGTGTGTGTGTGTGTGTGTGTGTGCGCGCGCGTGCGTGTGTGTGTGTGTGTGTGTGTGTGTGTGTGTTGACCGTGCGGGTTTAGGGGTAGATTCAGGCTCAGGTCGGGGTTATCGTCCTTATAAACAGTGTGATTTAGCGTCATGCTCTCCAAACGCTCTACATGATCAAACGTACACACAACGTTTTTTGGTCCCACACTCTACGTAAAGCTGATTTGCTTTGTTTTTGGTGCTTTGACCCATGAAGTGATCTTTTTAATTTGATTGGAAATAGTTGTCACGTGATGTGATCACATGACCTTCGACATGTATGTAGTGTAATTTTGTGTGTTATTGTGTGGTGAAGTGCAGGTGTGCTCAGGTAAAATGGGAGAGTGCGAGTTGGTAGTCACTCCTGTCGCAGTGAGGTTGGTAGGCTTCCAGAAGCTGGCCAATCAGAAGAAGGTGGGGAGTTTGGTGTTCGTGTTAGCATACATTAGCATCTGCCACTTTGCTTCTGACAAACTCTTTATAACAAACATTGTTTGTTTGCTGTGAGATAAATACATTAAAAGTCTTCTTCTGCTGAGTCTGCAGAGGGTCTTTCTACATAAAACCACAGAAGAAGACAATGCTGCTTATTGCAGAGTTGCATTCATTTCAGCAGCAAACATTCAAAAGTCAAAATCCTTGAAGGATTTTCTGTACAAATCAAAGAAGTTCTGCTGTTAATCTGCCAGACATCACAAAGTCCACTTTTCTTTTCTCACCGTGCACATGCTGCACGTTGAATGATCCGAGTGTCTGCAGCAGGAACCACGTTACAGCAACATCTGCTGAGGAGAGAAGCCGGCTGATGGTGGAGATGCTGTCTGACAGAGTCGTATATAAAACATGTTAATACTTAGCGTGTAGGCCAGCACACGTCTGTCTGTGATTCTGCTGACTCTGAAACATCTTAAAGCCTCCCTGCTGCTGACACCGGTTTAATCTCAAACAGAAGAAGAAGAAGCTGCTGCGACTAAAACCAGCGTAGATCAGTTTAATGACAGCAGCTCTGCTCTGCGTCCACGTAGCAATCAGAAAGTCGAGTTTTTGTTTGATTTTATTTGCGTAATTAAATGCTCAACACTGTGTTTACCTTTATTTTTGTCCTGTATCGATACTTTTACATTTTCCTGCTTATATTAAGTTTCTTTGTATGAATGTGTGTATTAGCACACATATTTCTGTGTGAATCTATTCTGTTTATTTCAGTTCCACATTTTTTTCTTGGACTCTGTTAGAGCAGCTTTGCATGAGTCACAGTTTAAAATAATCCCTCTTTATGTCGTTCTGGGCCTTGATGCAGCCCGTCAGTTCATTCTCTATCTGAAACAAGCTGTTTTCATTTCTGTCCCCACAAAGGATCTTTCTTCTGATTGGTTGCCCCTCATAGATATTAGGTGGGTGGAGCTTCTCAACATGAGGTGACCGTACTAGAGCTATGCCTTTTCTATGACCTCACAGATCCAAGAGTAGAAAAAACTGTAAGAAACTGAGTGTTAAGAGAAGTCTGAAGCTACACCGACATCAGTATTTAAAGTTTGTTTAAAATGAGCGTTTCCCTCTGGAACAGGAGATGTACGACAGGAAATACCAAAAACCCTACACGTTAATAAAGGACGGAGAAAGCTCAGACTGACTGAGGGCGAGCTCTGTGTTTGTAGTTTTCTTTGTGGATGAAATGTGGAGGCCAACAAGCTGCTCAGTGTCTGAAGGCTAAAGCAGATTCTTTGAAGCTCAAAGTGTCTGAGAGCGTAGGAAGCAAACACAGGCTCGTGGTTTCAGAGCAGCTGTGGACTCCCTGACTCGAGCCGACTCGGGCTCCTTCCTGACTTCTGGGTCATTCTTGTAGGTCTTTGGTGTTGGTGAAACTCTGGGATAATGTCCCCGAAAAGTCAGTGAAACAACCGTGTGTGTGTGTGTTTATGCCCCTCCCCCTGCACCTGACGTGGCACAGGTTGTAGTCATTTTAACAGAACAGCTTGTAATGAAAATATAAAAACACTCATTCAGACTCAGCACTGTGCTTCGTCCCCAGAAAGAGTCTCGTATGACCGTCACCGTGTTATTGTTGGCAGCTTAACTTCATTAATCCCTTGTTTCCTTAAAGTGCAGCGATTAGATGACTGATTAGTTGTTTGAGAAACAGTTAATTTTATAAAAGCTGCTGCAAAATGAAATGCTGTCTGCAGGTCTGCATGACCTGGAGGAGGGTCATTACTCTGTTTGTAGGACGATTTGTTCTCAGTCGCTTTCTTGAGGAAAGATTTATTTTTAGCTTCTGATGTGTTTCTACTAAACTGAATGTGTTTCGATTTTTATTTATTCGATTGACTCTGAAAGCAGAGCTTTAACTTTCACTTGCTGGCTATTGTGGATCATCATATTTGATCAGGTGAAAGCTGTTTTAAAGTGGGAGACGCTAAAACACTTGTTTCAGAGAGAGGACACACTAAGTTCCAGTGTAAGATAAAGAAGGATGATTTTAAACCGCAGATCATGCAAATATGGTTCTGGAAATGATCAGACACTTCAGATTATTCTGCAGTTTGGATACTTGGGGATTATTCGATGATTGTGTTGCTCTAAGGCTGCAGGTGAAAGCATCAACAAAACGTATTTACGCTGAGCTTTTTGTCGTGCTTTGCAGACTCAGGAAAATCCTTCGAATGTCTTTGTATTAAAGGTCTTAAAGTCTTAAATTTAATCTGGTGAACCAGCAGAAATCTTGCGCCGTGCTTATTTCTATCAGCTGCCGTTCCTGTATGAAGGGGTCTTTACTCTAACTTGTACCCCTGCGCCTCTCTCCGGACTCACCCGTCTGTGTGTATACAGGTTCAGGACTGTATGTGTGGTAATGCTAAATCTTTGTTTGGACACACACTGATCCCGGTGTGAGTTAGTGGGGCCTCCTGTGCTGCTACAATACGACCGGTACGCTGTGAGTAATGATTAAATCCTCTGCAGAGAAGCTGTGTCCACACTTGGTTGGCTACATTTAACAAACAGCGTCTCATCTCTGCCGCCGCCCCCGAAACCCGAACCAAGACCGAGCCCGGTGTATTCATCGCTGTCAGAGTTATATCTGTTAGACCGCCTTGTTGATTTCATGTCTGAACATCAGAAGATCTCCAGCCTAAACAATATATATAATCAATTTTCTCCCACTTACCCAGGTCACAGAGATACCCTCACATTCCCCTCCACATCCACTTCCTTGGGATACCGAGATGTTCTTGAAGCAAGCCTGCAGCCCGGATTGTTCTTAAGCCTTTTTCAGCTGCATTATAGATGTTTAACATAAAGTTGTGTTTCTGTTACGTTCATGCAAAAAGATGCAAAGCGAGAACTGGATCAGTATTTGATGTTTGATGTTTTCGAAGCTGTCTCCAGGTGCACAAAGACCAGTTTTCAGACTGATCTACGGACTTGGCTTCAAAGGATTGCAGTGAAGTTGCTGCCGAGACAGAAGTTTCTCTGTTAATGAATATTGGAGAACTTCCCACAGTTACCACGACTCCCACAGCGTCCTTTAAAATCTAGAACTAGTTCCACTTATTTTCAGTGGAGAAGCATCAGTGGCATTTCCCAAAAGTGTAGCCTAACACACAAATGTCTCCATCCAAAATATGCACCAGAGAACTTGCCCATTTACTTTTTGGCTGCTCATCTTCGGGTCTTTGTGTGACCTCAGACTGACTCCATAACTTGTGTTGCACAGAGTTTGACCACTTCAGGACTTGGTTTTGGGACCTCTTGGAAACTTGCTGTTCAGACTGTCTCAGTTTCTTCACTTTTAATGTGAATGTGAGTAAAATAGACTTCAATGATATTTAATCTCTGGTTTTGGAGCATCTTGTACCAATGGACAACAGCCTAGAACCAGCTCCCCTGGTGTGGAAGAGTTCTTGGGTGGATTTAAGTGGTCTCGATGCCAGAAAGACTCACAAAGACCTTTTTGTCTTTGGGAAGTGTTTCTAGAGTGATTTCCACTTTGGTTTCATCGTTCTAGATTTGAGTTAATCTCAGACTCAGTTTTGGATTTAGAGCAATTGTCTCGGAAAAAACCCACGAACCCTAATGCTCAGGATTCAGTGTCTTTAGGGCTCTGATTGGCTGTTTGGGATCATGTTTTCTCTGCAGGGTGATCCAACACCTTTGATCAGCTGACTGCTTGTGTTAAGCTTTCAAACAAATCCTTTCTCTGGTTTCCCTCACACTTCCTGTTGCACACAGCTGTGGAGTCACACTGGCCCGTCACTTTGATGAGGGGCAGCGGCTCTTGATCCAAGGTTTGCCTGTGAATTGACTCCTTTTTCCAGAAGACCTGCGAGGTAACGGTTTACTGGGAATGTTTAAATGTTTTATTGGAAGACCGTGAACCCAGCCGCAAATAGCGGACTGCCTGTTTGTAAGGAGGGAATGGTTTTTTACCTTTTATTACTTCTAAATCAAGTGTTAAAGTTTAAAACGCCTCCTTTCTCTGCAGGCCTCGAGTATGTGGAGATCGCTGCTGTGCTGGATGGATGCTGTCGCCTAAAACTAGGAGATGCACCAAACGTGAGTATGACGTGAGGGAACCACCACTAGCATGAATTTTGTTAGAAGTGTTCTTTATTTTAGTCAACATCAGTCATCTTGCTGCGCAGTTTAACATATCTGCAGCGCACACCTGCAACAAGCATGCACACTGATCCATCTGCAGATCTGGTTGATTTTGGTCCTCAGGGTGCAGCCCAGATGGATGCCCATAGCATCCACCCAGCGTCCAGTTGCTGAGTCTGCACAGACGGATCTGATAATGCAGGTCAGGTGGAGCTGCTGTCAGCGTGCATCACAGTTTAAAGTGTGAAATGATGCTGGGTGGTGGAGTCCATATGCAGAGCTGGATTTATGCACTCCACCTGCAGACCTGCAGGCGCTCCCACAGAACAAAGTTTAAAGCAGAGTTGCTTCTCAAAGCTAACGGTTCATTTTTAATTCATAAAATCTGAACCTGCTTCTTCCTGTTAATCAAAGGAAACCTCTGGTGCTGATAAACGAAGCTAACATGGAAACGGCTAAAGCTGCTGAAACGTTAGTGGAGACGATGAGCAGGAAATTCACTTCCTGAGTCCGTAAAAACTGAGCGCTCACTGTTGAACTCAGATTTGAATTCTTAGCTAAAACCTAACAAGTTTTTTCGCCCTCTGTCACAGGGTCACATGATCGATTTGTTCATCCAGATGATGATTTTTTTTTTCCAACACTTATTGTTTAGCAGCTCAGCTCCAAGCGAGAGGAGAATAAACTGGGTGATTGTTCTTCAGCTTTTCTCTTCATATCAGCAAAAACAAATCAGACTGTGAAACATCATCAGGACGTCCCAGACAAAATATCTCAGACTAATCTGGATCCAGGGGCTGAATCCATGCAGGATATAATGGGATATTATATTATGTGTGTGTGTGTGTGTGTGTGTGTGTGTGTGTGTGTGTGTGTG